CCCCCCCCCCCCCCCCCCCAACTAACAACCCCAACCTAACCAATTATTTCCCCTCCCAACTAACCACCCACTCCCATCTAACTGATTATTTCCCCTCCCCTTCTCCCCTTATAAATACACCCCAAAATCTCCATTTCTAACACACCATCACCATTCTCTACACACTAAAAAACCAATGTCAGAAGATAATAGTATACTTCTAGTAGCTTATTGGAGTGGTGAGATACAAGTTATAAGTCATGAAGTTCAATACTCTGAGCTTCCGAAGAAGTCTTTGTTGTTCAATTCTGATATATCCTGCGACACCTTTCTTGGTCAAATTAGTAGTGATGTAATTCAAGACGGATTCCAAGGCGTGGAATCCGTCTATGGTAAATTCACCGGACATCAATCGGGGGTTTATGTTGGTTCACGACCTCTCACAATCAACGATGAACCAACATGGCGGCATTTTTTGCGAAAAGCATCACGTGAATACGATGCAGTTGAAGTATTCATTGTGGTGTCTAAAAATGTTGAGGAGGAAGTTGAGGTGGAAGAGGATGGTAGTCCATTCTTTCAGCAACCAATGGATCAGCCATCTTCATCCCATTACGCTCAACACCTTGATAGCGATCCGGATAATGCTGAGTATGTTGCACCCTTAGAGGAAGATGAAGGCTCTTCAGAAGAGGAAGAGGATACATCAGATGAAGGGGACGAAGGAGACAACGAGGTTGCAATGCCACATTTAAAAGAAGTCCAACGACGCGAAACACATAGATCTTTGCAACCAACCTTCCATGTACCAATTATTGAGGTTGGTAATACGTATCCTTCTTTTCAAAGTTTACAAGAAGCTGTGTCATTACGCAACATTGCAGAGCATAGACACTTTCGCACAGTTGCGAAAAGGAGTCGTTATTGGAGAGCTAGTTGTGTATACACCCCCCAATGTACTTGGTTCATCCAAGCCGCAGAGAATGCAGGGACAAGTATTTGGACCATAAAGCAATACCAGGGGTACCACCAATGCAGACCCGATTACACAAGAGCAAAGGACGACAAATTGTTAACAAGTGAACTCATAAGTACTCTGATTGGTCCAAAAATTCAAGAAGATGCTGACTATAAAGTCAAACTCATTATCAGGGATATTTATGAGTTGTTCCAAATCTCTGTGTCTTACAAGAAGGCATGGTGTGCACGGTTATTAGCCATCCAATGCTTGTATGGTAACTGGGAAGGGTCGTACAATAAGTTGGATCCCTTGCTGAGTGCAATTATGGGGTCAAACCATGGAACTGTTGTTGATTTACAAACAATCGCAACTGATTCACCAACTTCTTTTTAGTTCAAGTATGTATTCTGGTCCTTTAGGGCATCCATAGATGGATTTCACTATTGTCTTCCTGTTATTTCAGTAAATGGAACTCACTTATACGGCAAGTATAAGGGATGTTTATTACTTGCCATGGATTGCTGCCCTTTACCACTTTAAAAAGGGGAACGAAAAAGGTAACAACTACGACTTCTACCAGGTTCAACCTTTACCAAGAACTGCTTACAGTACGCAGTACAGCAAGGGGGTGTAGCAGCACATACGTATTATAGACTATCTGTGTCACCCTAACTCGTACGTAAACTTTTACAGGGTCTCAATCCACCTCCAGCTCACACTCGAAGATATTGTCTCCGCCACCTACGCAGCAATTTCTGGAATAAGTTCCGAAGTAAGAAGTTGAGGACCTTGATGTACAAAGCTGGTAAAGCCCCGAATATAAGTGAGTTTGACCAGTTGCTACTCCAAATAGCATCCAAAAATCAAGAAGCCTACAACTGGCCTAATGCCATTCCAGAACACAAGTGGGCTTTGTCACATGTTGAAGGTGGGTCACGTTATGGTGTAATGACTACAAATTCCTCAGAAAGTTTCAATCATGTCCTTAAAGGATGTCGTTGTTTGCCAGTATATGCCATTGTGATGTTCATCTATGATAAGCTTGTCAAACTTTTCGCTGAGAGGCGAACCAGTGGGTATGTATGGCAGCAATCTGAGTACAATTTTCCTATGAATGTGTGGAAACATATTAGGAAAAATGAAGAAAATAGGCTGTATTGTCGTGTTGTGCAGCACCACGCACAACAAGGGATTTACTCTGTGGTGGTGGATGGGTCGTCCTACATTGCTCAACGGGAGACATTTACGGTGAACTTAAATGCACGAACATGTAGTTGTGGTCAATGGGTAACATTTCACCTCCCGTGCAATCATGTCCACGCAGTATGTCATTTTTGTAATGTCACCGTGGATCATTTGATTCCAAATGTTTTTTCAATTCAGTCTTACATCAACGCTTACTCTGGCATTATAATGCCGCTACCGGATGAGTCTCAATGGCCTACTCCAGAGTACGAGATCCTGAGGCCAACACCACGACAGACCACACGAACCGGCTGACATACGAGAACCCTCTATCCAAATAACATGGACTATCGACCACGGAGACATCGTAACGAGGAATAGCTTTGTCATGAATTTCAATTACGTCTGAGTTTATGTATTATTAAATTTTACAAATAAGTTAGTCATGGATTATGTTTTGGCTTCTTTTTTTTATGAATAAATTGTTATATGTACTCTAGCAATAAAATTATTGTGTTTTGTCTTGTTCTTTTAATATCGTTATAAATACCACTTAAAGTCAATAAATAGTATTTTGTTTAAAATTTTATTGTAGTCTATTATTTACATCTTCTTTATGTATGTTTCTCGTTTATTTTGTAATTAATTTGGTTTCTTATACGTAATTTAAAAGTAACAGAAGTAAATTGATTTAATTCAGTTATTAAAAAATTTAAAAAATTATAAAATACAATATTTTAATAAAATAAAGTTAGAAAAATTAAAAACAAGTTTATAAAAGTGGATTTAATTTGTTAAAAAGGTTTATAAAAGAGGAGATAAAATAACTTAAAAAAATTTAAAGGGAAAAAAAAGGAACAAAGCAACAAATCCGTTTTTAAAGAAAATTATAAAAAAAATAAATATTGGAACGGATTAGGCTAATCCGTTTGGTAATTAAATAAGTGGAACGGATTAGCCCAATCCGTTTAGTTAAATAATTTGCATCAAAATGGATTAGGCAAATCCGGTTGGTATTTTGGGGGAAAGTTCACTTTTAAATTGCATTTAAAGGAATGAGATGCAAGGTTTTTACACAAACAAGGAAATGACCCTTAGACTCATTTAATTAAGTTAACATCTTCATTTACCTTAAATTTATTTTTAAGGTCTTTATTCTCATTTTTCAAAATGTTATTTTTCCTAGCACCTAAAAAAGTGTGCCGTTAGCCTCAAGAACTAATATAGTAATTTGAGACATATATTGCGAATGAGAACAACTATTGCTCTCCGTTGAGGTGGAACTTGGGTCCATTGGCTGCTAAGTATCAAATTCATTCACAAGACAGAAATGCCCTTAGTTTCAAGATGCCTAAACCTATTATCACAGTATCATATTCCAAAAACCCGTAACTTAATTAATAAGTTAATTTTGTTGGAAAACAAACCCTAATATTTAATTTCCTTTTCCTTCATGTCGGATTGAGCCCTTCTTTTGGATGCCAACACTTCATGTTTCCGATTGGAATTGAAGAATTCCATTCTAATTTGGAATTGATAGTGCAAAAAATGAATTGGAATTGGTGAATTCAATTCTATGGAATTAAATCCCGTGGAATTTCAATTCTAATTCAAATCCAATTCCATCAATTTTATATATCAAACGAAGCCTATATGTATGCTCCCTTTCTTCAGAGGTGTTCTATTTCCAAACAACTTATTTTGCAGATCTATGTTATTGTGTAACTATGCTCTTTTGCCCATTAGTTTATTATTTATATAATTTTATTTATGTCATCCTAGTTATTTTTTGTAAAACTATTCAATCGTTTAGCTCACGAGTACGAATCTAGAAAAAGTTCAAAGATGCAAAAATCAAATTTTCACACAACATTTAAGCATTAAACACTTGAAGCATTATTTAGAAATTTAATGAAACTCTCTCAATAAGCAACAGCAACAGAGCCATTTGGTTCTTTGTTCAGTAATATGTCAAACAAAAGAACTGAGACTGCAATACTGATAATTAAGAAATGAAGTAAACAATGATTAAACCAAACCAAACCAATCACATAGTTCTTATTCAAACAAAGCAACTAAATATTTTGTCTAGCACCCCATCCCTTTATCATCTCTCCTCTTCACTCTTCAGCCAATGGAACAGCTTCAGCCTGAAGTATCATTTCAAAAGAGGATTTAGTGAACACACAAAGCAGTAATGCATATAGTTTAGTGAGACAAAGGGAAAAAACACAAAAAAAACTGACCATCTTGCGGTATTTGAGGGCATAAAACATCTCAATGTAGCGACGCGTCTGAAGGCGATCCAGCTTAGAAACACATTTCCAGAACCCATAAACTGCCGACAAAGTTAACAACCTCTCCGAGTAGATTTGCCAAGTGTACCTAGAAACAACACAATGGGGAAATTACAACTTTTTATTGTTGTCGAGAAGTGAAATAAATGTATGGTTGAGAACTTGGCTGCTTACTTTTCCTGTATACGCTTCAGCCCACCAGCAGAAATGGTTTCCCAATGAGAAGGGTCCTCTTTACACTTCTCAAAGAAATCAACTAGGAGTTGGGCAGCTTGGTCGCCCTGGTATGGGTCAATGTGGAAACCAGACTTTCCGTGGACGATGATTTCGGCTGGCCCACCATGGTTGGTTGCAAAAGTAGGCAAACCACAAGTCATGGCCTCAACCACAGTCAGCCCAAACGCCTCATAGAAAGCCGGCTGCACGAAAACCCCTCTTGTGTCGCAGATGTACCTGTACAGCTCGCCATTCCTGACACGGTTCATCTGAGAAGAGATCCACCTGAACTGACCATTCAAGTTGTGGGTCTTTATCAGCTCATGCATCTTTTTCATCTCTGCTTGCTCTTCCAAGTCCTTTGATTCCTTCCTCCTGTCCCCACCAACCACAACCAGATTCACCATTTCCCTCAGCTTTGGGTTCTTGGCATACCATTCAACAAGGCCTGTCAGGTTCTTCACACGGTCCAGTCTGGCCATGGTGAATAAGATGGGCTTCTTCCTGTCCTTAAGCACACATAAGTGCTCTTCATTCTCCACGTTGCTAAATAGGAGATCTTCAATTTCGGGATGAAGGGCAGTGAGTCTCTTTTCCTTCTCATAGTAAGGGAAATACAGGTTCATATCGGCTCCTGGAGATACAATGTTGAATTTGGGGTCGAAAACGTCTATGCCATGAACAACTCTGTACAATCCAGGCATTGTGAAAGCCATATGGCTTTCGTACTGTCCAACACTGTCCTTGCTGGAAAAACCAAAACCAGAAAAGGCAAAACAAAAGAAGTTAGAAAACACTACATGTGACCGTAATAAAATCATCTGATAATCTCAACTAGACTAGGATGAAAAGAAATTATATACCTTCCTGCAATCTCTTGGAAGGTGCTGGTGATGATGAAATCAGTGTGGTTCATAGCGATGAGATCAGCTGTGAACTGGGATGAGAAGTGATATTTTTCATCAAACTTTTTCCAGTAAATATCTGAGTCTGGGTATTTCGTCTTCTCCAATGCATGAGCAATTGTGCACTGCACACAGCAGAGACATTGCACAAGAACTTTAATTCCTTCTCAAACTAATAAAGGTGAGAATCATATTGTATTTCTAAAGTAACAAATCATGGTTTGGACCTGTGTCACGCCTAGCTTGTGAGCCAGTATGGAGGCAGCAAGGTTACCCTCACTGTAATTCCCTATGATCAAATCTGGTTTGGCCTGTAACTCAGCAGTAATTTCTTTCGCAACATCCTAACATATTAAATGTAGAAGCATTAGGAAAACAAAAACAATATCATTTGATTGAAAAGGAGAGAAATATATTACTCCGGGGAGTTTATTTACCTCAATGAAGGTCTCCATGTATGGCCAGACTTCAAAACGAGAGATCCATTTACGTACAATGCTGCCCTTCTCATCCCTAAAGGGAACCCTCAAAATGTGGGAGTGTTCTGCCCCAAACACTTTCTCTAGGCGTTGACCACAAGTGGTTCCAACTGCATCTGGTAGCAGCCTAGTTATCTGGCAAACAGAATCAACATCAAGCCCTTAAAATCACAAGACAAAACCAATTCTCAAACTAACTTTTAAAAAAAGGGATACGATATTTACAATGAGGATTCTTGGGATAATATCAAGTCCTTGCTCCTTGATGCGTTTAAGCATCTCCCTCTCTAATGCAGGAACTTGATCAAGAATGTAAACAACCTGACCGCCAGTGTCAGGATATCCCAAAACATTTTCCTGTGCAAAATAACCATGTGGCGAAAGGATAACGACATTGAAAACCATAGGAATCTTTCCCAAAAACCTCTCCAGAGTGCACGAATCAGGAGCCTCCAGGAGATCCAAAAGCATTCTGATCATCTCTAACACACGGTCGGCAGTGTCACCCCAACCCCTCTCCAATCCAATTGCTTGGAACTTGTTTTCAAATTCAGAGAATGGAGTTTTTAGAGGGAGTGTGGTTAGATATTCCTCTGCCTTTCTTAGGACATTTTGGAGAGTGTTTAGGTCTACGACTCTGTCGTTTAGCATCATCGTCTGCGAGACAAACACAGGGTGAAATTCAATTCAAGAACAAACTGAAAGAGAGAAATCGGAAAGGAGAAGGGAAAAAAAGTTACCTTCCCATTGTATTGGTGAACTCGGAGAAAATCAAGGAGAGGAACCATGCTCTCCTTGTCATGGAACATTTTTGCGGAAAGGTGTCTGTTTAGGAACTCAACTCCATTGCCAATGGACTTGGTAAGGGTGGGCTTGGGAAGGGAAGCAGTGAATGGCTCAAAATCCAATTCAAGAACAAAGTTACCATCAGACCTGGACCAAAACAAACAATACAACATAATTACTAAGTAGAAAATCACATCACATCATATATAAAATCAATAATAATAATTATAACAGTGCAAAAGACAGGAAGAACTTACGGTCCATCAACGAGCTCTTCTTTGAGTTGCAGATACTTAGGAACAGTCAGCTCCTCCACAACTAAAGCACTAACATTGACACGAACATATTCCCACACACCGGGCCTCAAACGGATGGCGAGCGCAACCCATGGGGGCAAAACTATCGCTTCCTAATCATGTTTTAAATCCCATTACATATACAGTTTCTTCAAAAAGACGATAGCTTCATAAGTTACCAAGAACAATTTTAAAAAATCAGACTCACCTGTGTGGATTTCAAGATTTCTTGAAAGGCATGATTTCTCAGTTTGTCTTTTTCATCCTTAAAGATCCCCTCAAACTCAGCCAGGAGCTGGTGAGGCTTCAGGATTCCTTTCCCATGGCTCTCAATCCTGCAAAACAAAAACCCAAACATTAATTCTCAGTGCCCATGTACGATCAGCTATTCTTCAATCGCAACAAACCCAATAAAACAAAATTCATTACTTTGACATGAACAGCAAAATCTCATTGCGGTGAGCAGCCAAGGTGGAATCAAGGCGCTCGCGGAGCGTATGAACACGGGTCAGAACATGATCAGCCATTAGAGATGGTGATGATGATGATGGTGGTCTCAAGCTAACGAAGCGTCAGGGAAGATTCAAGAACCAACTACAACGAAAGTACAAAGTCAATAGCCATAAGGAAAATATTAAACAAAGAATATCACTCACCCACGACCCACCACTATAAAAAAGGTCAAAAACCAAACTTTAACAGATATAAGCCTAATCTTCTAAGCAATTAGTACAGAGAACACAGAATATTCGTACCTAGGCTAGGAGAAGACAGAGAGAAGAAGATGCGGTGGCAAATACAATGGAATGCATGAAATATATATATATATATATATAGGACCAATGCAAGACGGAAGATATAATTTGGAAAGTCAGACCTTAATTATGGTCACGCCAGAATATGGAAATTTCTTGGGGGAAAAGCTCACAGTTTATAGTAACTGCGAAAAATCCGCTCTGGGTTTGACGTAAATGTGCCGAATCCCGACAGTATTAATTAAATCTCAGAGTAAATCAAAATTTGATTTCCAAGGGGATCATGACTTTTCTCCAAAGAAATGTCTGTTTTTAAAACTTTTTTCCCCCGGTTTTTGAATTACCGCCCCTCGAAATTTACTGCTTCCCATTAAAGTAAACAACATAACAGCTCGAAACGAAAAAAACACCCGACAACTCGAGGAGAACAGAAGGAGTGAAACGAGGGAAATGGGGTTTTACCTTAGAGAAAAAGGAGAAAGTGGAATGAGCATGAAGAGAGAGAGAGAGAGAGAGAGAGAGCGCATATATAATAAAAGCAAATGAAAAGATTTGAATTAGTGATGATGATGCAAAAGAAAGAACCCGGAGAGGCCTATTTATAAGAACAAAAAAACCCAGTCTTTTTTTGTCTCAATAGATCTGATGTGAGAATTTTTCTGCCAAAGTTACAGGAGAATAAGACAATCGTGTTTCATATTTGTTTGAATTTATTTAAATGAAATAAAATTTTAATAAACATTGTTACCGATTCGTGCAATATACCATAGACGTGTACTTTTGCGTAAAATGGCTACATAACATTCAAATATTTAAGCCAAAAATTCAAAGGTTGCGCATTAAGATATGTTCCGCGCAATAGACACTAAGTTCGTATTTTGCCTATACATACATGGATCCTTGGTATGTTATAGAACACAAAATTACACTTACTCTTTCTTGAAATTTACGTCTTATCTAGTTGATATATTTTGATAAACCCTGAGATAATTTTAATCTAAAAGCGTAATACACACAATTCATAACTGTATAAGTCTTCTTCACCTTTATCTATATCATTTGTTCGAAGAGCGTTACATAACATTGTCTTCTCTGTTATATTTTTTTATAATATCAATAATTGTCCATTTAAGCATTTGGTTGAAATTTGGAAAGACAGACAATATAATTGAGCAAAAAACTTACTCTAAGGAGGCGTGAATTTTGTCATAAGAACTTGAGGATCGTCATGTTTTTTTTTAAAATCATGTAGTACCTTTAAACTTTTTATAAAGACTGCAAGGATAACTTTTAGCACTAGTATCTAATATTTTGACGATTAATGTGTCAAAGTAAATTAAAAATTTCTTAATGTAGGACTTCAGGCACTACCATTTGTTCTAAAGCCAATTTGTACTAGAAGAAGCATATACCCTAGCCTTATAGTACATTAAACATACATAAGCGCTTATGGTTGTCGGGTGTGACTTTGCAACATAGCCTTTGCTAGGGACAGTTGATTGCAATGACGCATCAGTAGAGTATACCTTGGCTTCTTCTTCTTTTTCACCGAATGTCAAACTCCTCCATTTCTTCACTATTTCCCTTCATTTTTCTTTCATTGTGTTCTTGAGAGTGTGGAGAGCAAGCCGTAGTAGTTTGCTACCGTCGTAACCACCAGAGATAGTTGTGGTAGTAGCTGGAAGTTTCGCCTGAAAATTTCTATTTCTTTCGTTTAAGCTCGAGATAAGCCCTTAGAAATATCTATTGATTAAAAATGTTCATATAGATCAGTTCTACGTTCATAAACGGTGATTTGGTTGAGTTATGTGTTAGAAAAGCTAAAAATATGTTTTTGATGAACCAAGAATCATAAACCTTCAAATTGTTTTTAAAGCTTCAAACTAATGGTTTAAAAATGGTCTATGGATGTTAGAGAACATTTTTATATAGTTAAATCAAAGTTTGGTAGCTTAAAATAATATTTTGGAAGTTTGAACAGAGGTCGAAGACGAAATACTGTGCAAAATTTTCAAACCAGTCGCACAATGGTCGATTGTTTCGTGACATGGTCGAGTGTCTCTCAACCAGCTCTTTGTTTCACATTGTTACCAGGAATGGTCAGCCACCGACGGTAACGGTCGGAGGTCCCATGTCTAGTTGCACGGTGACGGTAACGGTCAACCGTCACGGTCCATTCAGCACAGGAAAATCTGAATTTTAAAGCTGTAAAATCCTACTTTTGATACTTTTCAACTATAAATCCGTATTAATAACATTTTCAAGTTAAATATGATGTTTTGATCAATTTAAGAATCTTATTTGATGCATGACGATAAGCTAGGGTGTTAGCATTCGACGCTAGGCCACTACTTGTTATTTAAATATTATGATGATGATTATTGTATGTTATGATGGTAAATAAATAATACCCTGATGATTGAACCTTGATTAAATAAATAATATCCTGATTAAATGATGAGTATTACAAATTAAGGCTATCTAGAAGAACTCAAAAATAGATCACATGTGACTATATTTGTTAGGCCATACGGGTATGATGTCCGATGGCCGAGGTTCAAACGTACGTACAGGATCTACAAACCAAACTAAAGGTTTTTTTTGGATACCATCCAACCCAACCGTGAGCAGAACATTGTTCGGTTTCTGAGCATGACTTTTAAGACTCCTAGGATAGGTCATGATTTTGTGTTCTGTCTAAGACTAAAAATAGTTTAAGAGCTTTTTGATCAATATAAATTAGCCTTAGACTAAGAATAATTTAATAGCACTCTTATGATTTGGCCTTAGATTAAAAATAGTTTAAGAGTACTATTGATACCATAAATGTTGAATATTTTGAAATGTATATTATTTGCATGAGATCATATGATTTGGTCATGAATTGTGATGTGGATGTTCGATGCATTAGATATCCTCACTCATCAACTTCATTAAATAGAGTAAGAAATGATGTGATGTTTATCCTGGTACATGGTAGAAGAGGACGAGATGTCGTCGGATGGATGTGTAATGCCCCAAAACATACCATAGAATTATTAATGGATAATTATTCAAATAATCAATTTTTTTTATTAAAATAATTTTTTTGGGATTTGGGCCAAAATGAAATATTTTCTGATATCCAATATCACAATCTGGATAAAACTCATAGAGATAAATCTAATATGTTGACTTATTGTGTGATCTTGATTGCGAACCTGAGTACAGACCCAAATCCAGAATAAATGAAGAAATTGTTTATGATGTGAACTTAGACGTGATACATTACGGTAAGCTAGGTTGTTAACACTCGAAGCTAGACCGTTATTTGCTATTGGATGTTACATTGATTGATGATTATGATGAATGATTATTATGATGACTATAATTTGATGAATCCATATATTGATTAAGATGATTATTGATGGTTAAACAATGATTTAAAATGAATACATCGATGATTATGAAATGATTCAGATTGTAAGGATATCTAGAAGAACTCTAAGATATACCTAAGTTGACATTGATTTCTAAGACTATCTAGAAGACCTCTAAGATAGCTTAGAAATAGGCCTTGCGGGTATAATTATGAATATTCGGTGGCTTGGGTTAAAATGTACATACGAGATCTACAAACCAAACTTGATCACTCGTTTGGGGATACCACCCAACCCGACAGTGAGCATTCCCTTGTTTGGTTTTTGGTTGACCTTAAGAGAAGGTAAGTTTAAGATTTTGATAATCTCTTTTGAAAAACTTGTATCTTAAACTAGGCCTAGCTTAAGGGTTAGTTAGAAGTACCTTAAACTAGAATATAGTTTAAGAATCTTAAACTAGATTTCGTTTAAGAGTTGGTAAATATTAAAGGATTGGCCTTATACTAAGAACAATTTAAGGATATTGTTAAATGTTGAATATAAATGTTGAATGTTGAATATTGGATGATAAATAATACTCCCTCCGTCCCAAAAAGATTTACACGTTTTGACTAAAGTGGAAATTAAGAGAGGGATAATTTTGTGTTGACTTTCCAAAAATACCCTTGATGTGATGGGTAAAAGTAGGATGTGATGTGTAGATTATTAGGAAAAAAGTATGATGTGATAGGTAGGGTTTGAAAAAGTAGGGGGTAAAAGTGGGTTTTTAATAGAAATGTGTAGGAGATTGTGGGACGCAATTTTTTTGAAAGGTGTAAATCTTTTTGGGACGGAGGGAGTATTGAATATTGATTATTGAATATCTGAAGTGAACATTATGTACATGATATCAAAGGATTTGATTATGAATTGAGATTCAATTTATATGGATGTTCGACGCATTACATATGCTTACTTAGCCTCAACGATGAGTGTGTAGTATGTTTTAGTTGCTACACGCAGGGTAATGGAAAGAATAATATAACGTGATCCTGGAGGCAGATAGAGGCGGGATAGTCGAAATGGATGTGGTGGTTTTCAATTACATAAATAAATTATGTTTGTGATTATGATTTGTTAAGCTTGTGCAATATTGAAAACTCTGTACTGTTTTTGTTATGAAAAATATTATTGTGATGAATAAAAGTGTTTGAACTATTTTAAATTTTTACGATTACCAAGTTATTACTTTAGTCCGAAAGGGGATGCAGACCTGGACGGATTAGGGTGTTACAAAATGTGTGATGATTTCTAACTATTGAATAAATATTTCAAAAATGAATTACGGAGTATTTACTTTGATAACAAATAATTTATTTAAGCTTCCGCAGTTTTATGAACTCTGATATTGTTGAAAAAAATATTTTGATTGATGAAATAAAGTTTTAAATATTTTAAATTTCTTCGTTACCAAGTTATTACTTTAGTTTGAAAGAAGCTGCAGACTTGTTTGGATTAGAATGTTACTACAATTCCCTTTGTTACTTTTACAATATAATTATGTCAAATGCGATGCTCTTAAATAGGTTCCTACCAACATTATTCTATATGTTACAAACAAGCAAAATTAGAATAAATAAAATAAAACATTAATTTATCATTAGTGTTGTTGTTATGATATGGCGTGATTTAATTTACCTGATTTTTACCTAAATATGATTGTATTACACCTTTATTTGGGGTATTTTTTTCCCTTTATTTGGGGTATTTTTTTTCATTTGTATTTGTAATGAAAAAGCAACTAGTGCATATAGCTTATCTAAGTCATCTTTTGCATAATTGGA